CCAAGTTAATAGTGACTAGTTAATAAAAATTAAGGTCGCGAAACCTTTGCACGTCGAAATTAAGTATAATCAAAAGTTGTATGTAAACAACAAAGCAACAAAGCAAAAATATCAACAGCAAAAATAGCAACAATTAGAATAGAGTCACCTTAATCTTATCGTCTTTGATAATGGACGATAAACTATTGGAAATATTGCAAAACTAAACATTAATTATCAAAATGTGCAAATAATATCAAGATTATATGGGTCAAACGGCAAGAATAGATCTCAAAGGCTCCCTGTCAGAAGAAATAAATATTCAGGAGGGTGTAAAATAGAGATGTATTCTCCCGTCAATGCTATTCAATTTATACTCATAATATATTTTCCTTGAAGCATTGAAAGATGAGTCAGCTTGAATAGCGATAAATGGAGTTCTATTTAACAAGATCAGATATGCTGACGATACGGCTATAATAGCCAACAATGTGGAAGACCTCTAGAGACCCTTCGATAAAGTATCTAAGGTTAGTAGGGCTAGGGCACATGGTTTACATATCGACATCAAGAAAACCAAAATATTGGTTATCTCAAAAAAAGGTAACAATAACTGCGGACAATCGGTCTGTAATGGACAGGTCATGGAGTTAGTTTCTCGGTACAAATATCTTGGAACAGGCACGAGTTGCGTTCATCAAAATGAAATAACTCTTGACAGCATCATCTATCTTTATGACTATAAGAAGCCGAATGGTTAAGTGTTTAAATTCTCAAAGCCAGAAAAATTCTCAGAGTATCCTGGATGGATAGAGTCACAAATCAGGCAGTGCTAGAAAGACTCAATATTAAACATGAAGTTGTATTTACTACAAAGAAGAAAAAACTTAAGTTTCTTGGTCACGTCTTTAGTAGCACAAGATATGAATTTTTTTCAGCTTACAATGCAAAGAAAAATAATTGGAGAAGAAGCGTGGGGCGTGCAAGAATTTCTTGACTGCGTAAACTTCACGAATAGTTCGGAATAACATCGGTCGAATTATTCCGAGCAGCAGTTTCAAAAGTTCAAATAGAAATGTTGAATAACAACCTTCACAGGAGACGCTAAACGCAAGTAGAAGAAGCTTATCCCTTAAATACATTGATTATTACTTACCTAAATTATATTATTTTGCTGCTGACTAAAAGCTTTCAACTTTTAACTTGTGTTCAAAGAAATCCAATGGCTTATTAGCTTCTTGTTGATGCTTAGTTGTGAGATGTCGCATAAGCTCAAACAATGTCAATGACATCTATATATGACTTTACAATCATTAGAACTGAAGAAGTGCAGAAACACTGCACGAAACGTTTTCTATTAAAAGATTGAAATAGTTTTTTTAATTTTTTATTTCTCCTTGACCGATATTCTCATTTACAGTGAGATTTTAATCTCGCTCACGTTGTGTATTTAAATTTAGACGGTCGTACTCCTTTCAATGCGAAATTCTAAATGAGATAAAAACTAGAAAGATGGAATACTTGGGGCACATTGTGAGAGGTGAAAAGTACGAACTTCTAAGAAACATCATGCAGGGCAAAATTAAGGGCAAAAGAAGTGTGGGAAGAAGAAAAATATCGTGGCTTCGTAATCTACGTGAATGGATCAGTGGCCATGATGATATATATATATATATATATATATATATATATATATATATATATATATATATATATATCATCGAGTTGATCGGGTTAATCTAAAATTTCCAAAATAAACTGGGTTATACATGGCAAGTTAGTAACGGTAGATCTACTATCTCTTAGAAATTAGTTTTTAACACAAAATGTACGGTGTATGACAAAATAACCAACACCCGCTCAGCCATAAACGTCAATTTAATATTGTAAAACAACAATTCCAACAATTTACTTTCAATCAAAGCATCTAAAGAAAAATTATTCATAAGGGCTAACCCATATTACAGAAATTTCTCTGCTACTGTTATCGATAATAATGTATGCATATTTGGCCGGTTGGGAACGAGTGGCGCCATTAGCAGTGTAAAACATAATTATGTACCTAGTGTTTAAATATTACCGAACAGGCACACATGATGTAGGTAGCTTTAAGTACCGAGATGGAATAATAATCTTAGCTCTAGCTGCCTGCCTACTATGCTTGTTGCAAATTGTAAAAAGTTGTTTGAAAAATTTTAAATTATGAAAAAGATGATGAGACGCTACTAAGTATTTGCTGAAAAATTGGCGGAGGGTAATTTATCTTCTTTATTTGTCGTTTCTTTAGAAGGAGGCGCACAAGGCAGTACAAGATTCCTCTATCTTTATAATGAACTATTAAAACATGTCATTTCTTATTCAACAGAACATTTTAAATGAACAGCTTAGGTATTATATTATTAAAATTAATATTCAGTGAGCGCCAAAATCATGGAATAAAAAAACATTATCGAGAATGGGAAACTTTGGGAAAAATCACGAAACAAATATATTTTTATTTTTAAATTATAATTTTTGGGTATATATATGATACTATAGTACATTTGAAAATTATTGATGGCAAAAATGTTATCGTGAGATGAAATCTAATATAACATACTAAAAGTGACGGAGATTTTCTAAAATAAGATATTCAGCATTGTTATATACATTGTTCTATACAAATGTCTATACATTTTAAATATTATAAATGTTTATAATATATCAATATATTTCAATTCTTTGAAACACGTGTTTTGCAGATTGTGAATAATTTTAGTTAAGATTAACATGATATGTTTGTGAAGCTCTGCGAATATAACACGCAGAATTGTTAGTTCTATAATAAGAAGTGGTATTAATAAGTGAACTTCTTCTTCTTCTTCTTTTTTATAAGCAAAATGCTTGTTCAATGTCGATTAATGCCTCTATTGGAGGTTATCACTCCATCTTTTGCGTGGTCGCCCGATACTTCTTCTACCTTTTGGTGATTTGTCCCTCGCTATTCTGACTAATCGGGTCTCTTCCATTCTGTTTATGTGTTCGTTCCATCCTTTTTTTCTGTTCAGTGTCCACTCATTTATTTCTGGTATATTGCATTTTCTTCTGATCTCTTCACTCCTCATTTGATCCCTCAGTGTGTTTCCTGTAATTCTCCTCAGTAAACGCATCTCCGCTGTTTCTAGTAGTTGCTGAGTTTTGGAGGTATCCGGTCTTGTCTCTGAAGTGTATGTCATTATTGGTCTTATTGTTGCTTTGTAGATTCTTGATTTCACGTCGGTATTAATGTGGGGATTGCGCCATATCGTATTATTAAGACAACCTGCTATTTTATTAGCCTTTTGTATTTGATTTTTCACTTCCTTCTCCACATCTCCGTAGCTAGACAGTGTAATTCCTAGGTAATTTGTCTCCATTACTTGCTCAATGCTGATACCATCGATTTCCAGTTTACATCTAATTGGTTCTTTACTGATTACAATTGTTTTAGTTTTCTGTGTAGAGATCACCATATTAAAGTCCTTTGCCCGTGTGTTGAATCTATGGGTTAGTCTTTGTAGATCATCTTCATTGGATGCAATTAGGGCCGCATCATCTACATAGCAGAGTATTCTGATTTCTTTGTTCCCCATTTTGTATCCTCTTCCTTTATTAATAGTATTGATGATTTCATCCATGATTAGATTGAATAGCGTTGGACTAAGCGAGTCTCCTTGTCTTATTCCATTGCCCATATCTATTGGATCTGTAAGCTGGTCATCTATTCTGACTTCCATATTGTTGTTCTGGTAAATGTTCTTTATTGTTTTTATAACATCTAGTGGAATTTCTTTATCGTAAAGAAGGTGAATTACATCTTTAAGTTTTACTTTATCGAACGCTTTCTTCAGGTCTATTAGACATATGAATGCTGGTCTATTATACTCTAGTGCTTTCTCGGTAATCTGTTTTATGATGAATACTGCATCTGTGCACGATCTTCCTGTGCGAAAACCCTGCTGTTCATCCGCTAAGGTAATTCTCTGATTTATTTGGCCTTGCAATATTTTGGTTGTAAGCTTCAAAGTGTTGTTTAATAAGTTGATACCTCTGTAGTTTTCAGGTTGTTTTTATCTCCTTTTTTGTATAGTAGGATAAGCTCGCTTTTCTTCCACTCTTCAGGTATTTTATTATGTTTGATAATTTTGTTAATTAGTGCTGTTAGCTGTTCTGTTAATGCTTCTCCACCATATTTTAATAATTCATTTGGAATTCCATTTTTACCTGCAGCTTTTCTGTTCTTCAGTTTTTCTAAAGTTTGTTTTACTTCTTGTACGGTTATCTCGACTTCCTCGTTTGTAATGATTTCTGGTGTTTCTGGTTCTAACATAATTTGCTGTTCATCATTATAAAGCTTCTTTAGGTATTCAATCCATGTGTCGTTATCTATGTGTTTCGGTTCGATTAAGTCTTTCATCTCTGATCTTTGGCCTCTTATGAAACGCCATATTTCCTTTTGTAGACCGTAAAAGTCGTGTTCCATTTCTTTTGAGGAGCGTTCCCAGTGTTCGTTTTTAATTTTTCTTACTAGTGCTATTGTTTCGTTTCTTATCTTTTTGTAATTGTATTCTTGTGGTGTTTTGTTAGACATGTATCTTAAGTAAGCTTTCTTTTTTTCTTTGCATTTTTCTTTCACTTCTGCGCAGAACCACGGAGTTTTCCGCGTTTTCATTGTTAAGTTAATAAGTGAACTTGTGTAGTCACAAACGTAAAATTTTTCTCCTGTGAAATTAAAGGGCCAATGAAGTACGCCAATGAAAACTTTGGTGTTAAATGTACATGATGCTCTTGTACAAGTACTGTTCAGGATATTTCTAAGTCCGCCGATATTACCGGTGTTGGAGAAGCAGCTATTTATAGACTTTTAAAGCAACGAAAGAGTGGAAGTACTACAGAAGAGTCTCAAACGTCAACAGGAAGAAAACTCATTCATATAGACGATTCGAAAAAACATTTTGTATGTTTAGGTAAAGTGCGAGTATTCTTTTTCTAAGATTAAGATTATGAACGTCAGTCCTATAAGTTATTTGATTGTACAGGTATGGTGGAACTCTCTCTTGAATAATTGTATGGTAAAAAATATAAATCATGGTATTATGGTTCATAACGCATGAAGTTTCCGACGATTTTTCATATTTAGTCACTTGACTACGGTGGAAACATGACTTATCCTTTGAAATTTCCTGATGCCAAAAATCAAACGCAAACAAGAATTTTGCAATTTCTGTATTCTCCATGAATTAAATTCAGTGAGACACGCATTGTGAAGCACGTCACAATAATTTAATTTTGATAATACCAGACCGTTACATAATAATGACTCTGTGGTCCTACTTAATAAATTGCGGCTTTGATACAGTAATTTTAGAACGGCGTAAGTTCTTTGTAAACAAATACATAATATGTAAACATTAAATCTTCGTCGAACCAAACCCCTAGGCTTTTAATCTTTTTGCTAAAAATTATCTTGAGAAAAAATCTGCAGATGAAGAAGGTCATAATAAAATTTATTGACTTTACCGCTTGATCACACTCATTTAGATAATATGACATATAGAGTTGGATATCGTCTGCGTAATAATGTTGTGAACAGGACAAAAACACAGAGGGAAAATTAGATGTGTATAAAGAGAATAAAATTGGACCTAATATAGATCCTTGAGGCACACCAGTATTAAGATTTAGAAATGAAGAAATACTCTGATTAAGTTTTACTGCTTGACATCTATTAGAAAGATAGGATTTCATTAGATTAATTGCTCTCGCTTCTAGACCAATATATTTTAAAATAGAGAATAGCAAATTATGGTTAATTGTATAAAAAACTTTTGAGTAGTCTAGAAGAATTAGAATTGATATTTTGTTTTGGTCATAGGCTCTAAAAATATCATCTCTAATATTTAATAAAGGCGAAAGATAGCTATATCTAGATCTAAAACCGGACTGCATCATAGAGATTATGTTGTTATTTTTTAAATGCGTTTGTAACAGAATGTCGATTACCTTTTCCAAAATTTTAGATAATGTAGGCAGTACACTTGCAGCTGCAGTTGCAGCTTGCAGTTGCAGCTTTAATATGTTCATACCATCATCACCAATAGCTTTACTTTTAATATTATTAGGCGTCACGCCCTTCCGGTAGCGATCTATGGAGGAGTATCACCGAGACGCAAGCCCTTATCTCTTGCCGTACTGCTCCACCATACGCCGATCAGACACCAGCATATTCTAGTCAGATACTGAACCACTAGCAGTGAAGCGAATGAGAAGCCGGCCGCCCAGCCCGCTTGGCTATCTGACCGACTAATATTATTAATAATAAGTAAAATATTAATTTCAGATACTGGTTTAAAGTTAAGAGAAGAACTGAGGAAATACTTAAAGTTATTTTCGTAGAATATTTGTGTATCAATGTATGCATTCATGTTTGGTATGACTTCAGTAAAGTGTTTATTTATCTCATTTGTATTTCACACCTTTTTAATTTCGAAGTTATTTTTGGTTTTGCAATTATATACCAAATATTTTAAATTTTCCACATATCTTTAGAAGATTGATCATGTATGTTTTTAAAATATGATTTTTTCTCCCTTATATTCATGGCTGTTACTCATGGCAAGTTACGCAATACTTTGTAGTCATTCTATTGATTTATATTTTTAGTAATCTTGTAAGCAGTAAGTGCTTTATCCCTATCTAACATTAATTGCCTGATGGTATTAGTTAACCATGGAGCATATTTTTGTTAGATTCTTAAAGTCTTATATGGAACATGTATATCAAGTAAAGTAATGATATTATTAGAGAAAAAATCGACTTTACTGTCTATATCTGTCAATTCATATATTATTCTCCATGGTATAGATTCCAGATCAGATTTAAATTGACTGTAATTTAAATTTTTTAAATTCCGACTAGTAATAAATATATTTGTATTAGTTTTGACATCACAACCAAATTTTAAAACAATCATTTCATGATCGCTTATTTCTGGGATATGTTTTACTTCAACAGACAAAATTTTACCTTCAGTAAATGTGATTACATAATCAAGCAGATTCGATGTGAACTAGGTGATTCTAGTTGCTTGATTTACTCCAAGACCATCTATTACATCTGAACTGAACTGTGTGGAATAATTATTGGTATTTAACAGATCAACATTAAACTCGCCCAAACAGAGTAAATGATCTATACTTGACAGTACTAATGATAAAATTGGTTCCAAAACTCCAAAGAAAGTTTTATAAAATAATCCTTAAGGATTATATAAAACACCAATAGCTAGTGTTTCATATCGAAGAGAGAGCTTTAACCATATCTGTTCAATTTTATTTGGTGACCCAATCAGCACATAATTTATATTACATTTTATATAAATACCTACACCTCCACCTGTGTCATTTTTATTTCTGTCGACTCGGTCAAAGTTATAGCCAGGTATATTAAGGTTCTTACAGGATATTGATTCCTTTAAGCATGTTTCACTTATACCCAAAATATCTAAATATTTTTTCAAAATCAATTCTATAACGTCAATAAAATGCGCAACTACCCATCTAGAGTTTATATGAGCACACTTTAAAGTACCCATGTTATGATTAGATTAGATCGTTACTAAATTGGTACAAACGTTTATCTAAACAATTCAAGCAAAATTTGTAGTTGAATATTATTTACATAAACAGTAATTCACATGGTGATGTATTAGCACTGTAAAAGAAATAAAATGTGGAAAACTGTACGTGAAGTAGGATTCGTTTATAAGAATAACAATATAAAATCTGCACTCATAGAGAAAGAAGAAATTATTTGTTGGAGGATTCGATATTAAGGGAAATTCAAAAATTGAGGAAAGAAGGCAAACATATTTTTTGTTTAAATGAGACATGGATAAATTATGGACATTTTGTAAAAGAAGTTTGGCAAGATAAACTGGTTACAAACGTTCGTTAGGCATATATAGAAGGTCAGGACTTAAAATTTCCAAATGGTAAAAGTTGCCGTTTAATTATCAGGAAGAGATAAAGAATTTGTTGATGGTGGCTTGCTATATTTTATTTCCAATTCTACTATTCTTAATACTATATATATAGTATTCAATCTATATATTCAAATTGAATCTATATATTCAATTTCTTAATACTAAATAGAGAAAGCAAGAACTCTGGGATTGGCTAATAACCAAAAAAATAGTAGTGCCAGCAGAAGATTTACTCAAAAAAGTGTTATTGCAGCTATGCAAATAATATTCACCAAAATTTAAGAAGTATAGTATAGATGAAATAGCAAATGAACATGGAATTAAAAGTGTTGCGATTACCACTTTATCACTGTGAACTTAACCCCACAGAACTAGTCTCCGCTAAAATTAAGGGATATATTGTGAGAAATAATACAACATTTAAACTTCAAAATGTTCGTTAACTATTATCTGACTCTATATCAAAAATTTCATCTGACAATTGGCAAAAAGCTAAGACGGGTCATAGCAGAGGAAGAAACATTCTGAATCGGAAGAAAACAATTTATGTATATAGTCATGTCATTATAGACTTAAATTACTAATTATAAGTTTTTTTTTTATTTTATTTATCCGCATTAAAAACTGGGGTTATTAGCGGTAGGTTTATGATACAACATCACCACAATTAGGTAAGGCGTGATAACAGCAAAATATCACAGGTTTTAATGTATATGTAATCCCAAGTTTTTTACAGTTGCATTAAATTCTACACTTCATATAATTTACATACCGATGCACGTCATCGGCGGCATAGCCCGTGACGTCACATGATACCAACACGAAATATTTAGGCGATAGGTGTGTTCTTTTTTGGAATCACTTTGCCGAGTACACTGGCATTACCGCCACTAGACATATTTTATTATATACGCGTAGAAATAATATTTAAAAAATTTTATTAATGTTAACTTAAAGAAATACACAATAATATGTTTCATTTAATTTGTATAAATGCATTATAAAGCGTTTGTATGAATAACATTTTTTCGGAACACACTGTAACTGTAATCGAACGAAGGTAAAATTCTGGCATAAATTGGTAACACTTATTTGACAGTTGCGGTGTTGACACTTTTTGTACTTTATTATTTTGAATTTTAAAGTGAATACCTCTTGTTTTATATGTTTACCTATTTAATAAAATCTGTTCTGTTTAGAACAAAATTAGTGTGTTTTATTTAAAAAATGTCACTTAAGAATTTAAATTGTCGTTGTAAAGAGATGGTAATACATTTGCAATAATTATGTGATCTATTTGATTTAAAATGGAGTCAGGATTTTGTTATACTTTGGCAACTATGTCAACTTCGATCTCTGACGTAGATAATGACGTGCATCGGTAAGTAAATTAGATGAAGTATATTGAAGAATTATCAATGGTGAACATTAAGCAAAATTTCTCAGAAATATTTCTTTTTGCGCCACTAGACCAAACGCTACACCTACATATTTTTTGTTAACAATTCCATGTTACAAAGTTCATACTTTTGGTTAGCCCTGCAGAAATAAATATTCAAATAATTATATCGTTGCAAAGGCAATAAGGAGTCCTTTCAAATGAGCTGTCGAGGGACCTTGGTTTGTATTTAAAAAAATCGTCGATTACGTCATTACGCCGACACTGTTGACGTAATATCCAACATATATATATATATATATATATATATATATATATATATATATATATATATATATATATATATATATATATATATATATATATATATATATATATAGCAGTTGATGGCCATTCAAAAATTAAAGTTGACGTGTTTTAAGATTTTTTTAAAAGTAGTCTGATTCTAAATAATGAATTTATTCCATACATTTGCATCATACTGCATACTAAATAATTTCGGACCCAATATAGAGCCTTGTGGTACCCCTTTGTTTGTTTTAAGATAGTTCGATGTCTTAATATTTTAATGAATAGCTTGACTTCTATTATTAAGATATAATAGTTTTATTAAGAATTTAATTTGGTCGTATTCGAAGCTTTTATAAATTTTAACATTGACTGTGTCTACCCTTGTTTATTTTTCATTTCTTTTCGATTGTATTCCTTTATTTAAATACAATTTTTTAGCTTTGGTATTATTTTCTTCGTCTATGACTGAATCTATTATGTATATTATTATGTTCTCAAGATGCAGCCTGGTTTAATTCTTGTGTAAATCAAATGTGTCGTGTTTTGTTGTAGATTTTTTTACATTCACACTATAATACCCTTAACTGTTACAACACATTGTTCTATTTAAATACCACAGGTTTTTACTCCGAAATATTATTTCTTTTTATTTTAAAAATTTAAATGTATGTTAGTAATTTTTTTTTAAATTTATTTACACTTATTGAACGTGATAAATAATTAGGTACGCAGTTGATTTTTCACTGACGCTAGAGAAAAACTAAAGAATCTTCGTCCAGCATGCGAGTATAAGGATTAGTGGAATGATAATTTATAAAGATTTATCGAGCAATGATGAAATTACTCAAGAAGGATAAATATTGCGGAACTTAACGTCGTCTTTACCATTTATATCAACTACAGAAACAAACAGAAAGTCATATTGACCACTGGAAAGTAAATAAAACTCCTTAGCGATGCGGCTCGTGTGATTTGTGGTAGATAAATGAATTTTTTAAAATAACGGAGTCTGCAATTCTAATACAGAGTGATACTGTCAGATCCAACTTGTACTATAGATACAAAAAAGTAAGAAGAGTTGTGCAATATGTAAACATATAAGAAGACCTCAAAAGTTGTTAGAAATGCTGAGAAGATTGTTTGTGAAAAATTTTAATCGAAAAAAATACTAATTTTAAATAAAATTTGTGTCATGTATAATATTTTATAATTGTTTATTTTTAGTGCGTCAAAAACTGTCTGAGTAAAGGAATACCAAAACCAGGATTCTGTCCTGATAAAAATACCCATATCTCACCATTCGCCGAAAATTGCATGAAAACTTGCGAAAGGGACTCTCAATGTGGTGGAGTTGCAAAATGTTGTCCTCATGGATGTGGAACCATGTGCCAAATGGTAGTAAACTTAGACTTTGTTGAAGGTGAGTGCCCATTTATTTTATTTCTTTATTTATTTACCAAAAGCAAAAATATTTTTAGTTATCTTATTTGATAACCTGTTGCTGTGCCTTTTTATATTTACTTTGCGTCTCTAAATCTGAAGAGTAGAACTAAAAAAACAACATAGGCATATAGTGAAACTGAAAATACTTCGACATATAGTAATATACCTACGTATCTACAACTGAAATATCAAAAGTGACAAATATTTTAAATAAATGGAAATGGCATAAAAAATTATTAGAAAGCAAGATCAAAACTGCAATGCACTTCAATGCATTTTTCAAGGTAAAATTGAACAAAAAAGGGCCCCAGGACGAAGAAGAATATCCTGGATTGCTAACCTGAGAGCATGGTATAGAAAGACCTCAACACAGCTATTTCGTATAGCAACCAACAAAGTCATCATAGCCGAATGATCGCCAACATTCGGAACGGACCCTAAGAAGAAGAAGAAGATCGAATGTAAGAAATGGTTCATTATCCACCCTTAATTGTGTCCAGTGCTCTCGATCGTGTACTTGGATATCATTCCGGTGCATCATTTTGCCGGAGGTCTACTGTACCTCAACGCAAGTTCTTCCTCTCTTTGTGCTATGAATAACTTGGATATAATATTCAGCCCTGTCTTGTGCCTTTTCTAATTGTGTACCGCAAGCAATATATTTTCCAATAACTTTCGAATATCTTGGGATGTACATATTAAAAGGATTGACCAAAGTAAATGCCATTCTGCGTTATCAAAAGTTTTTTTATATTCTACAAAATTTTTCAATGAGTTGTTAAAGATTCACATTTTGTTTTCGTGTTCCTCTTCCCCTACAAATCCGGCTTGTTCAGGAGTTATTTGGTCAGGTGTACATTGGTCTAACATATTGTGCCAGTAGAATAATTTTAATACATGAACTTAATAAAATAATTATTTTGTAGTCACTATATTCCCTGTGGTAACTTTTGTATGTAAAGGAAAAATTACGGAAGTTTTCCAGTCAGTACGCTGGATTTCAGGGTTGTCATAAGGGTTGACATAAGTAGCGTATGGCTTTTAAACCAGTCATCTTCCAATTTTTTACTACTTTAAAAGGAATTATACGTATTTAATAATATATTTATATGTCATTGAGAACGACAAAGAGAAAATCATTAAAACACACATGACCTTCATAAATGTGTGTACAGCGTGAACAGGCCTTTTAGGTCCTTTGCTGGATGGACAATTTCCATTGTTTTCTGTTCTTAGCTGTCAGCTTTCAGTTTCTAATTGCCATCTTTCTAATATCTTTTATCACTACATCTCTCCATTTCCTTCTTGGTCTTCCTATCTTTTTTTTGCCCACAGGTACTGTTCAACGAATATTCTTGATTTTTCTATTACCTTGCATACTTTTTAATTTTAAAAGTCCAAGCCAATCAACATTCTTACAGCACTTTTGTTACTGTATGGTTAGCATAAAATTGGTACACTTCTACATAAGTTCGTCTTCTCCACTCTCCCTCTACTACTAATTCATCAAAGATTCTAAAAATTATCTATTTTTCTCATGCTTCCAATCTGTTCTGTATGGTTTTGTTTATAGTCCATATCTCGACAGCGTATAGAATTGTCTTATTTTGTATTACGATATATATATATATATATATATAAGGATCACTCAGACGAGTGGTGGGTTCTTATATCGGTCTCTAGGTGGAGAAATAAAAGACAAAATTGATAGGCTACTTTATCTATTTTGAAGACGTTTCGCTTTCGAGTTTTGAAAGCATCATCAGTTCATCTAAAAAATTACAATATGAGAACCACACAATCATGGAAACGATGTTAATTGTTACCTTAAAAAGACATGTAGCAGTCAATGTTATTAACAATAATGTGAATGAAACTAAGTAAATGGACATAATACGCTGATTTTGTATAAACAATTAAGTAACTAACAACATATATGAACTTATAAAATTAGCACAGCAAATGACCATGTGGTCTAAAGTAAATTAAATGTTATTTAATGTTAATTACTGAGAAAGCACCAAGAAAATCATAGATAACTTCCAACTATTTAATGAATATTAAGCTTTGATTTTAACTTTAGGTAGCATTATAAGTGATATTAATAAAATTTAAAAAGTAGTATAAATGAAGTTGCCGATCAAAGCCCTACAAATGTCGCCGGCGATCAACTGATCCATCAGTCACCTCCAATTTAAATAAGCCCTTGGTTATTCCTGTCTTGCTCGAGATTTCCATGTATTTTATTTAATTAATATTAACTTTTAGTCCCATTTTACAGCTTTCCCGAATCAGTATTTTTGCTATATTCGCCAGTTCCTTTTAATTTCTTATAATGAGAACCACTTCATCAGCGTACGCTAAGCATTATTCTCTTTGTATAACAGAGTGCCGGACCTATTTATCCCACTAACTCTTACAATTTTTTTTAGAATATTATTGAATGGTAAGGTAGACAACAGGTCTCTTTGCGAACACCTTTTTTACTTCGAATTCTTCTGAGACTATATAGTTGTATTTCACAGCACAAATGGTTTTTCTAATTGTCATTTTTACTAATCTTACTATGTTTTCTAGCACTTGGAAATCTTTTAGCATTTCTATTAATTTGTTTCTGTCTATTGTATCGTAGGTGGCTTTATAATCAATGAAAAGTACTTGTGCAGAATTGTTGTATTCATAGCAATTGATAAGGATTTGTTTTAGCATAAAAATTTGATCGGTTATTGATCTTCCCTTGTAAAATCCTTGCTGTGTTCTCCTAGGTTCTTCACCAAATATATTTTTAATCGTTTTCTTATTAGTATGACGAGCACTGTATATATTACCTCTATCATGAATATTCCTCTATAGTTTCCCCATCCACTACTATCTTCATTTTTGTGTATAGGAATTATAATGGACGTTCCATTCTTGAAGCATCCCACAATTATTCTACTATTAGCTCACTATGTTGGTTGCTTAAAGCCTCTCCTCCATACGTTAAGTTCTCTGTTAAAATACCACTTTTTCGGAGACTATTTTGATTGTTTATATGTTCAATTGTTCATCAACACGTTTGTCTTCTTTTATGGGGTTTGGTAGTTCTTTCACTACTATTTGGTGTATAGCAACATTATAATTGTCTTCAGTAGTCACTTTATCATTTATCAGCTCTTAGAAATATTCTTTATATCTTTCACATATCTGGTCTTTGTCCACTATAAGGTTTACCCGCTAATCTTTTAGATTCATCGTTTTTTCTGGCACCCAGTTTTAATTTATTGTACGTCTATAAAAAAATTTTATTTTATTTTTCTTGTAGTTTTCTTTTAACTCTGTTTTACATTTGTCATCTTACAAGTGGTTTTCTCTATAAATCTTTTTATTTTATTGGTTTATTCTTTGAAGTTACTACCTTCATAGTGGTTGTCATTTTCAAGAACTTTTGTTTTATGTTACTTATAGTAGCACTATCTTGTTTGGCGTTGGTTTCTTGTATATCCTTTTGATAATCCTGCATTACCTCAAAGTTTTGTAGTTATTCAAAATTAAATTTAGATTGCACTTGTTTTTTTCGGTTATGCTTTTAATTATTGCATCTCCCAGACTAATTCTAACCAAAAAATTACCATAATCTACGTCAGCCCCTCTGCACGTTTTTACATTTGTTATTAAATTGGCGAATTTCTCTTATATGGCTTCTCAAATATAGCTCTTATACAGACTTTTGTTAGCTAAGTACTTGGATAGGCCATGATAACATTTGTTTGCAATTACTATTCGCCTTTTTATTTCCTCAGATGTGTTATTATTGGGGTTAACCGATGTCCCTAGATATATGAACTCTTTAACTGCTTCGAAGTTTTGGTCATTGATGATTAAATCTGTGTCAATATTTCCAGCTCTTGTGTTTGTGTTAGTCGCCATGAATTTCGTTTTATTTTGATTTATATGTAACCTTATTCATTCTGCTGCTGCTAATAGCTCGGTTAGGATTTCCGCAGCTCTCGTCTTGGTTCTTGTTATAATGTCCACGTCGTCTGCATATGCTAGAATTTGGACTGATCTATTAAATATTGTTCCCCTGCTATCCAAATTAGCGTATTGTACAACTTTTTCTAAAGTGGCATTAAAAAGCTGACACGCCAGCGCATCTCCCTGCCAACTCACTATGTATTTCAAATGGGGTTAACGAGTTTTGAATTTTTATTGCTGAGGAAACGTATGAGTTTTTTTGGAATTCCTAACTCATTCATAGCGTTGTAAAGACTTGGTCTTAAGACACTTTCGTGCCGCTTTAAAATCGACAAAAATACGATACATATCTATGTTAAAATCTTGCGCTTTTTCGAGGATCTGTCGTAGTGTAAACGTTTCGGTATAAGGCTTCAATCTCTCGTGCAAAATGTTCAACAATATCTTGTATGTTGTATTTAGGAGAGTTATTCCGCGGCAATTATTGCATTCCAATTGGTTTCCCTTTTGTGTAACGGGCAAATAAGGCCTAAGCTCCATTCTTCAGGCAATTGCTCCTCAGGCCAAATTTTACAAACAATTTCTTGCATCACCTTGGTGAGCTGCTCTCCACCGTGCTTAACTATGCTGGGATGCCATCGCTGCCTGAGGATTTGTGATTCCTTAGTTTTTCTATAGATATTTTCACTTTATCTACCGAGGGAAGTTCCACGAGTTCCTTATTTCGGTATTCCAGATCTATATTATTAGTAGGTTCTCCTTCCAGCAACTGTCGAAAGTGCTTTACCCATTGTAACAGGATAACATCTTTTTTGGTAAGTAAGTTACCTTCTTTATCATTACAATAGTTTATTCTCGGTTTGAATTCTTTTCTAATAATATTTATTTGATGATAGAACTTTCTCGTTTCTCCGTGAATCTTTTCTCCCTCCGTTTTTGTATCTATTTATTGTTGTCCTAGTTTTCCGTTGTTGCATGGTCCTGAAAGCCTCGTTTTTCTCATCTGTTAATTTTTTGCAGTCTTGGTCGAACCAGTTGGTTCTTTCTTGGGTTCAGGATATTCCTAATGTTCTTTCGGCTGCTAATTTCAGAGCTTCCTTGCAGTTGTTCCACATTTCCGTACTTGACTGGTTGACTGCTCAGGTGTGTTCTAGGGTTTCTTTTATATGTGACTGGAACTATTTCTCTTTGTTTTTGTTTTTTTAACATATGTAAAATATATTTTACTTGTCTAGTGCCCCTTTCTTTCTTGGCATCGGAAATTCTTTGTCGTAACTTGGTCCCTACCATGAAATGGTCTGAGTCAATATTTGCGCATATGTAACTTCTGACGTCCATTAGGTTTGTAAACTGCCTTCTGTCAATTATAACATGGTCAATTTGATTTGTGGTGTGTCCATTTGGTGATATCTAAGTTGTTTTATGGATATTCGTATGATTAAAATATGTACTTTCCACTTAAATCTTTGGAAGCTGCCATACTAATAAGCCTTAAACCATTCTTATTAGTAACGTCGTGAAGGCTGTGTTTACCAATATAATCTTGTATAGCATATCTCTTATCCTATCTTGGCGTTCATATCTCCAGTAATTATTTTAATAACAACTTTTTTGGCACAGTTAGTTATCATATGCTCTTTCGAGGTGTTCGTAGAATAGATCTTTAATTTCTTCGTCTTTTTCCTCGGTTGCCGCGTGCATGTTGATCAGGTATATGTTGAAAAAATTTTCTTTTATTCCAAGGATGCATAACCGATTATTTATGGCGTTAAAACCAATAATAGAATTTTTGATTTTCTTTGATACTAGGAACGCAGTTCCGAACTCATGTCGGTTCTGGTTGCAGCTGTAATATATATCATGTTCTTTTTTCTGCATAATGCCGGTTCCTGTCCATCTAATCTGTTGAATGGCTGCAATGTCTATTCTATATTTTAGGAGTTGATCTTGCAGCAGCTTCAATCCCGCTGTCCTATACAACGTTCTTCAACGGTCAACAGTCTCCAGTAGGGTAGCTCAGGTTTACCGGGGTTCACCCGTGTGATCCGTTTCTGTTTT